GGCAAAGAGAGCAAAGAAGTCTTCCAGCACCTGGGAAAGAAGCTGGAAAGATCTCACTCCACTACAGAGTTTCAGTAACCAGCATGGATTTGACACCCCTGAAAATCCTTGTGATTTGCTAGTCTTGAACAGGTTGGAGTATGATGAGAAGCAGATGCCCTCAAAAATTAACATGTGACAGTAAGCTCCTGAATGCTTACCCTGAGTTTCTTTATGGCTTACAAGAATTGTGGGTCAGTTCTAAAGGTTTTGTTCCTAAATACGTATCCAAGCAAACACACACATTAAGAATGCAAAGAGTTTAAAAAAACAAACCCTAACCTGCCCCAGAGAAGGAAGAGTGCTATCTTTGTCTGCTGGGAGGCTTTTTTTTTCACTTGCTGATGACACTAATGAGACAGAAAAGAAAAAGGCATGTATTATTAGATCCTAATACATCCATTAAAGGGATGCATGAAGACCTGAATTCTCCAGCTGAGTTTGGTAGTCAAAAAGGGTTTTTTTTTTCCTGCTAGCGCTGCTTGAGTTCTCATGACAGGCTTCTCCTAATCATCTAGAATACTCATCACCTCCAGATACTCAGGAATAGCCCCAAGATGTTTCCAAAGGAATATACTTGAGGTCTGACAGCATCAAGAAAAATAGCACACCAAACATTTTTCTGCTTATATCATCTCCTTTGATGTTGCAAGAAGCCTGATGTCACAGGCTGTCTTAACAGTCCTAATCGTAGCAGTTTGTTCCCCTGAAGTAGTCTGCAGTACTAAAGAAGCTTGCACATGGTGAAAATGCACTTAGACCAAGAACCTCAAGGAGCCAAGAATGGCTCAAGCACTTGAAGTTACAGCACAAGAGTTTTTAGGAACTGCAAGATCAGGTGGCCACTGAAGACACAGGCAATGTACTCATCCTTTCATTGTGCCTAAGTCAGTATTCAAAGGCAGTTTACTATCATGTGAGCACAGGACCAATCTCCATAACAACCAGTTACATATAGTACTTAATCACTCCTGCAAGCCTTCAGTACATTTCCATTTCCAGAATACCATTAGAGGATCTTCCTAGTTGACACATTTTTGGGAACATGGATGAACTGCCACCACTGCTGCCCTTTTCTGAACTGAAAACTCAGAAGTCATGAACAGGAAGACTGTCATTCCCCATTTCTGAAGATGCAAACTATCACAAAATAGGTCCCAGCAGTTTGCCCAAAATGAGACAAGCAGAGAAGCAGATTTATGAGCCAAGAACTCCCTCCCCATCTCTTCCTGTCCCTAACCTTCCTAATAATAAAGGTGTTCTGATCATCAGATCTGCTTTTAGTCTCTTGTCGTTATCCCCCTCCCATACAGTAAAGAAGAGCAATCATCAACAAACAGAAAAACAAGGGACAAAAAGAGAAGCTTCAATTTGAGAAAGGGAAATTCTAATTTTTACTTCAAGTACTGTTCTTTACTCATTCATTCATACAAAACATTTCAGTTACAGTTCTTTTCACAAACCCCACAAGGAAACAAAACTCCTTGCCCAGAAATCCATACTGAAAATTAAATTCTCATGGATGTATCACTTACTTTGTATCGTTAACAAGTTGCCATACTAAATGACAACATATCTGCTAGTAAGTCAAAATCAGCAAATGCATCTACCCTGAAAGTAAACGAATCCCAAGAGCTGCTCAAATGTACTTTTCCCTTATACACAGGTCAAGCTGTAAGAAGGACAAGAGAAAAATGCACATTGAAGGTAAAATGCATTTCACTTTTTAAGAGACTGATACAACTCCTAAAAGATGCAGAGCAATTCTGGAACAAGTTACTTGGGTATAACCCAAAATACACCAATGAAACCACTTAATTACAGTAAAGAGATTGCACATAAAATGAACTTACCATCTCTGTCCTCATCATGAATATTCAGATACAAGTATTCTAGCCCTCTTCCTTTCTTGCCATGCTCTGCTCCCTGTATTTTGGTCATAAGTGTAGTTTTACCTGAACCATCGTCACCTGCCAGTAAGTTTTTACAGGGAAAAAAGACACTTTCAGAACAAGTTTTAACTTTAAAAAAAAAAAAAAAAAAGATTTTTCAAATTTTTAAGTAACCAGAAGTATCCTTGTACATTTTCAGACCATACTTACTTGTTATTTTCTTTTAAGTACTGCAGCTGAATCCAATGGCTTATACCATGACTCAATTATTTTCTGTTACAAAATCACAGAGTGGTCTTGTAACCTTAAGTCTTACACTAACAATAGTGTGCCTTTAACATAATAGAATAAACCAAACTGTTATAACTTAGTGACACGTAGAGAGAAAGCAATATTCGGCAGATAGGGGAAGAAACATCATGGGACTGATAACTAAGGAGACAGTAAAGAAGACCAAGGATACCAGCCTTCAAAATAACAGTGGCACCCACCGTGGAGTGAGACTGGAATAGGACAGAATTAAGGACATACCACCCGCCAACTCAGCACTAGGACCTTGCAAGCATGTGCAAGCACTGAAGTCATTCAGTAAACACAGTGAGGAAGATTACGGAGGACCACCAAAGTCTCCTACTCAGCAAGAAAGCACATGTGTAATCAGGATGCAAATATTATAATTAGTTCATGGAAAAGCTATGAATATGCATGAGTATGCTAAATGTATAGCCACTGTCGACAAGTATCGGGTGCACTCACCTTTGCAAAACAATTCACCCGTGCGCCCAGTGCTGCGATAAAGAATGCTGCTTTCTAAAACACCAAACTGAGTCTTAAGAGAGTTTCTCCAACCGACTTTTAGGGTAACAGTCTGGCCTTGAACACTTCCAGGGATGGGGGAGTAACAGCTTCTCTGGGCAACCTGTGCCCGCACCTCACCACCCTCACAGGGAAGAACTTCTTCCTAACAGCTAATCTAAACCTACACTCTGTTATTACATATATTATATGTAACTTTTACATGCATTATTATTATTATATGCAATTATTACATATATTTAAACAAACGGAATGTCAACTGAATGTTAAAAATCTCACAGTGCAAATCAAAGAGCAGATCTATGAGTCTGAAGACAATAACAGCATAGATCATACTGCATAACCTAATTTGAACAAACTGACATGTCAGTTTGTTCACATCACTGCTTTAAAACCTTTGTTTTTATAAAAAAACAGCCCCAACCATCGAATTGCCCGCATGTGTTACTTACCGAAAATGAGAATATTCTTGCCAGATGGCAATTTAGATCTTGACCGGGTAGAAACTTCGCTCAGTATTGAGGACCTAGAAAAACAGCATCACTGTTCTTAGGCCGCACATATGCATAAACACAACCCACACAGTGCCCATTCGACAGCACCGATGAGCTCAGCAGATCCGCAAGGACCAATCCAGTTATATTCGGGTATTTACAAACTGGATATGATGTTACAGTTACAGATTTAAGTTCATTTTAAAAGGCCAAAAGTAGGCCACCTTTTCAAGAAAAGCTTTTACAGTTTCTAAAATGCATGCAGTAACGTTTTTTTCTCCCGTTTTAAGAGGCCAAATTACTGCAAAACACTACTTTTCAACTGGTGACTAACTCTTCCCACAATCCATTACTGTATTTCACACATAGCTTTTTCTGCCGTTACTGTTCAAAAGCATTAACTTCGAAACAAGCGACGCGAACACCAGAGAGCGAGTCCCGTACAGCCTTTTCCGCAGACCTTCCGCAAAGCCACATCCCAGGGACCCCGCACGCCTGTCCTCCCCACCCTCCAGCGATGCTGCCTCATCCCGCAGGCGCGGGGCTCCCTCCACAGCCAGGAAGGGCAGCATTCCTCACCGGCCCTGCTGCCTGGGCCGGCCTCCGCCGCGGGCAGCTGCCGCGGCGCTCCTGTCAGCGGGACCCGAGTGCAGCCTGCAGCCGGCGCCCATCGTCCCCCTGCCCATCAGGGCGGGGCGAGGGCTGAGGCGACCCAGCAGCCCAGAGAGACCCCGCCGTGACAGTCACCGGACAGGAGCAGTCGCTGAGCTCTGCCGCCGGGGTGGCCGCGGGCCCGGAGGTCTCCCCCCTGCTCCGCCCGGGCACTCACCAGAGGTTCTGCCCCTCCTCCTCTTCGCTGGGGAGCTCGGCGCCGCCGGGCCCATCCGGCCCCAGCAGCTTCTTCTCCACCAGCGTCCGCGCCATCTTGCCAACTGCAGCCACAAAGAGTGACCTCACCCGGGCCCACGAGGACCCCGCTCCGCCCTGTCCCGCCCGCCCGCGGGGGCGCTCCGCGCTGCCGGACCCGCCGCCGCCCCACGCGAGCCCGCCGCCGCTCCCCGCGGCCGCGCTGGTTTCCGATCAGGCGGAGCGCGGCCAGCCCCTGCAGCGCGCCCCGCCCTGGGTGGTGCCTTTCACTGCTGGGAAGGCGGAGAGGGAGACCAGGTCCCGCAGCGCCCCCTGGTGCCGGGGAGGAGTGCTCGCCGCCGCTCCTTGTAGCCGGCTGTGCTGGGCGGCTAAAGCCAACTAAAAATTATATTAATTATTCTTATGCAGTTATATTTTCATGATTCCCGTTATGTGTGGATTCCAAAGCACTTCATGCAAGAAAATAAGTATAGAGATTGCACAGTCAATCAAAAAGAGAGAAAAAGATTGACTTGCACAGACGCACACAACAGGTTCCGGCTCACTTTCATCCAGGACTCTCCCCTTCTGATTACACAGTAATTTTTTAATGATGCCGTTTTCAGCAACTTGCATGACGAGAGCAGCTGAAACACTGGAAATGGTTGTGGAAATTTAATAAGGCAAAGTGCCGGGTCCTGCATTTGGGCCACAAAAACCCCATGGAACACTCCAGGCTTGGGGAAGAGAGACTGGAAAGGACCTGATGGAGCTGAACATTAGCAGCTTGTGCCCAGGCAGCCAAGAAGGCGAACAGCATCCTGGCCTGTATCAGCACTAGCGTAGCCAGGAACGTCAGGGAGGTGATCGTTCCCCTGTAGTGGGCACTGGAGGGGCCGCACCTTGCATCCTGTACTCACTTCCTGGCCCTTCACTACAAGAGAGACATTGAGGTGCTGGACTGGGGCCAGAGAAGGGCAATGACGCTGGCAAAGCTCCTGGAGCTCAAATATGACGAGGAACGGCTGAGGGACCTGGGGTGTCTAGTCTGGAGAGAAGGCAGCTCAGAGGGGACCTTGTCAATCTCTTCTCTACAGCTCCCTGAAAGGTAAAAACCTAGTGCTAATAAGGTAACTAAACTTTTTCCATAACAAATTAGTTATCGATTAATCACACCTTTATCAGAATAGATAAAATATGCAAATGAAATAGTAAGGCTACCACTGAAAAATCACGTGCTTAAGGGTTTCAATAAAGCTTTCTCTGAAAACTGTGCAAGAAATGGCAGTTCTGCCTATTTACTTGAGTAATACACAAAAAGATGCCTGCTACATGCTACTACATACATGTGGTGTTTTCTGTCATAGATACACTTTTCTGTACATACAGCACATTAAACTCACGACAAAATATTTTACCTACTTTAAACATTTCACTGATTAAGAGGAAACAAGACAAAACATTTAACACCAGTTTCTGACATAAATATTAATTTTAGCGATAGAGCCTTTTCTTACAAATGGTGTAAAGCAAACTATAGAGAGCTTCAAACAAAAAGGCAGATCAAATATTACATAAATAAAACATTCAAGAAGGTTCAGAGAACCTCATAAATTATTCTACTGGTATTTTGTTAGCTACTTTAGCATTATTTAAAAAAAAAAAAAAAAAAAAAAGCAAAACCCCCCAAGCACCAAAATAACAAACTTAGGCAATTACATATAATTTCAATTTACAAAGTGGAACAACTCTGTCAATGAATGTTATCACTGAGAACAGGAGTCCAAGCCAATCTAAATTCTCCGAGGGTTTGTATTGCTGCAACAGTACACCACTGTTAAAAATGCCATTCTTCAGCATTCTGCAACAAGATCCAAAATACTCTTGAAAGGTGTTATTGATCTTTGTTTTTTTCTCACCTCTATAAAATGGAGATACAAGAAAATTTTTATAAATTTTTTATAAGAGCAAGTAGTGATAGGACAAGGAGGAATGACTTTAAACTGACAGATGGGAGATTTAGAGTAGGTATTAGGAAGAAGTTCTTCCCTATGAAGCACTGGCACAGGGTGCCCAGAGAAGCTGTGGCTGCCCCATCCCTGGCAGTGTTCAAGGCCGGGTTGGACGGGGCTTGAAGCAACCTGCTCTAGTGGAAAGTGTTGCTGCCTGTGGCAGGGGGGTGGAGCTGGATGGTCTTTGAGATATCTTCCAACTCAAACCACCCTGGAATTCTATGACTCTGTGAAAATATCAGTGCAAATGTTGACACAAAGCACTGCACAATTTCACAAAACACTGCAGTACAGAAAGGCATCCCAATGAACACTGCCCCACACATCTGAATCACAGAAGAAATGATGCCCCCCCAACCCATATGCAGCATCTCCCTGTACAGAGTGTGCATGTCAAAGATGGTGAAAATTGCCAGAGAGATTTTCACAAACCATCTTCAGAAAAGGGACTGAACAGAGAGATCAACTTCCTAATAAACATAGGGATTAATTTAGAGTCATTAACTGAAAATCTTACCCTTTATATCCTGCCAGGTGGCACTGGAGGGTTCAAATGCTCTCTAGTATTTCCCTAGTGCAGTTCTCCCTCTCCAAGCACCAGCCCTGGTTGGATTACATTGGATACTGTTCCAGTGCTCAAACATGAACAGCACTGAACTGACACCAAGCACAATCCAGTGGGTTGCAAATTCTGATGGCCTCTCTTTTTTTCCCCCAGTCAGTTCAGGGGCAAAGGCTGAAAACAGAACTGACAACATGCACATACAGTAGTAGAAAAAAATATGATTACTTGCAACTGTAACCTGTAGTACTTCTTGGAAGGGTCAACATTTGTCCGTCCTTTCTGAAACGGATAAAACAACAAAATTACATTTCAGTGGTTACCTATTTTTTTTCACTCCACTCAAAAGATAGTTTATTTCTTCAGCTGTGAAATCTTTTCAGGTTCTTCTGTTGTTTAAAGTTTTTGTGTCCAGGGAACATTTTTCATTATTCTGCGAATATTTATTTTGGTGAAATTAAAAATTATGTAAATTTGCATACTGTTTTGCATTCGGAAATAACACATTATTACTGGCAATACAATCTGAAGTAGTTCTAAAGAAATTATCACTTCGCCAAGATAACGATGGCTCTTCAAGGTTTCTCCACTGTCACCCATTTCCTGAAATACAGTAAGTATTACATTTCAATTTTTTTCACACCTTCATTTCTGTCATGCCTACATAGTTTAAATCTTTAGTATATTTCTGTTATTTCCATGCACATTTTCACTAATGCAGGAAAAAGCATACCTCCATATCTATTATTCAGAAAGGACTGTCAGTTGAAAATGCTTAATTCATTTCAGAGATAAATCAATATGACTGGAGTAGAATCAACAGAGGAATATCTCTAATGAAGTCCACTTTGGTAAAGGACTCCTGTTAAAGTTGACTTAAAAAGAATTTATGGAATTCACAGAGATTTTCTTTGGACATTTATAAATATGTGAGTGCTTTATTAGGCTTTGCATAACTAACCTCATCTCTTTCCACTGAATACAGGCGATTTTCTTTTAAGCACTGACATTCCAGGTTGCGCATTTCTTTGACTCTCTGCCTGTTCGAGTTAGCATCTTGGCTTTTTTGTAAAGCTATGAAATTGTGAACAAGGCCAGCTCTTAGTTACATTAAACTAACTGAAATCTACTGCTAAACTGAATACAGTGTTGCAAAGGAATGTTTACTCTAATGAACTTGAATATGTACATACTGTTTTATTAGGAATATCTCATTTTGTTTAGCTCTTTTTCTCATCATTGACATTAACACATGAGGATTGTTTATGTATTAGCAACTATAAAATTATAGGAACTAACTCCAACATCATTAATACTATGACTGAAGGTACCAGAACATACCTATTTTAATTATTAGCCATTTTGTCTCCAGTAGCAAGCACAGGTGCATTTCTCAAAGCCCTGGCCTAAATGCGAAGTCTGATCTGTAAGTTACACTTATTACAGAATTAATTTTCTGGTAATACTCACACTTCTTATACGTAGGTATCAAGTTACAGTCATTGGCCAAACTCGCATTTTTACTACGTCCATCTCTATTTGAAGTATTAGATTGTTTTTTTCTATTTGGAGTCAAAATAATACCTTTTTTAAAAAAAAAAAAAAAACAAACAATAAAACATTATGCATTGTCCTGGGTTCAGCAGTAGCAGTCGGTTTTTCTCCTTCTTAGCAGCTGGTGCAGTGCTGTGGTTTAGACTTTTGGCCTGGGAACAATGCTGATAACACTGATGTTTTCAGTTGCTGCTCAGTAATGTTTACTCTGACCAAGGACTTTCTGAGTCTCATGGTCTGCTAGGGAAGAGGGGAAGATGGGAGGAAGCAGAAACAGGACACCTGATCCAAACTAACCAAAAAGGTATTCCACACCACAGCACATCATGCCCAGCATATAAACTGGGAGCAGTTACCCAGAAGGGCTAGATCACTGCTTCGTCAGGCTGGCTATCAGTCAGCAGGTGGTGAGCGGTTGTAATCTCTTCCGTTGTTATTTTCGTTATCATTATTATTATTGGTGGTAGCAGCAGTGGTTTGTGTTACACCTTAGTTACTGGACTGTTCTTATCTCAACCCGTGGCAGTTACATTCTTTTGATTCTTCTCCTTATCCCTCTGGGAGCTGGGGGGACAAAAAGGGGGGAGTGATAGAAAGACTGCGCAGCTGACTGAGTTTAAACCATGACAGTTCTTTTTGGCGTCCAGCATAGGGCACGAAGGGTTGAGATAACAACAGATCTGACCAGAGTGTGTCTAATAGTATGTGTCATAAGCATTCATTGTTTCGGATTAATAGTCACTCGTCACAATGCTGATTTATTGGCTCTCAGAGTTGTTGCTCTTGATCTCACAATTTCAGCATGTTGTACCTTACTTAGAGCTGGTATTTGCTGTTTTAGTGTTTATCGGCTGGGGGCCTTGGGCTATTCTGGTGTTGTCATTCTGGTCATACCAGAGAGGGACAAATCATGGCAACGTGCTGGGGCTTGGCCTATGCTTACAGAGCCCTGTTCAACACTATCCAGCACCTTCAAAAGGAAAAAAATGTCCCTAGATCTGATGGCAAAGCAACAGACAGCACAGATACTCCAGCTCCAAGCACAGCAGCTACACCAGTCCCAGCGATAAGTACAGCAGCTACTCAAACCCTGACTGAAACAGACAGTGCAGCTACTCCAGCTCCAAGCACACCAGCTTACCAGCCCCAGCAACAAGTACAGTAGCTACCCAAACTTCGACCACAACAAACAGCGCAGCTAATCCAACTCCAAGTACAGCAGCTATACCATAGGATCAATTCGTGCCAACATTGTTTGCCCCTGTACACAAGAGGAAAAGTCAAAAAGAGGCAAGAAAGATGAAGCAAGATGAAGAAACAATGTCCTCACCACCCGGGACAGCATCTGACCAGGAGTTATTAGTATGTGAATAAGAGGAAGAATAGGTGACGTCTCAACCCTGGACCTCAACCGAGCTATAGAATATGCAAAAAGATTTTACCCGTCAACCAGAGGAGCACGTCATCACCTGGCTGCTCCGATGCTGGGACAATGGGGCCAGCAGTTGCCAACTAGAAGGTAGGGAAGCCAAGCAGCTGGGATCACTTGCTAGGGAAGGAGGAATTGACAAAGCAATTGCAAGAGAGAAAAAGTCCCTCAGCCTTTGGAGGTGGCTCTTGGCAGCTGTGAAAGGTTTCCATACAAGGACGATGTTATGAGTCGTTTGGCCAAGTGGATTACTCTAGAGAAAGGCATCCAATCTTGGAGGGAATCAGCCATTGTAGAGATGATCTATCATATAGATCATAACAGGGATGTACTCATAGATTGGCATAGATCCCTCGTAACGGGGATGCACTCATAGATCCAGATGAAGTCAAATGTACACAACCCATGTGGCAGAAATTTACACAGAATGCACCATCATCATACGCCCATTCATTGGCAACAGTAATCTGGAATAACATAGTACCGCTAACAGTGGATGAAATGATTCATAAACTCTGAGAGTTTGAAAACAATCTCACCCCTTCCATCATCTCAGCTGTGGAAAAACTGTCCCAGGAGTTCAAACAATTGAGAGACAATCTATCAGATCTATTCAGCTCCCCACGTGTACCAACACACATCTATGCTATTAACAAAAGGCATCTGCTGCTTGAGAGAGAAGACACAGAAGGTATACGCCACAGGCCACCCTACGGTTTTACCTGCAGGATCATGGAGAAGACATGACAAAGTGGGATGGAAAACCTATCTAGACTTGTTCTCCATATGGGACCTCAAGGGGATTTGATTTTAGGGGAAAACAGCCAATGAACTCAATTGTATCCTGTTGTGTGCTATGTAGCACTTTTATAGCCCACCAACTAGATGTCTTCAGGTCACCAGCGACTGGCCCTGACTTCCCTCCAACCGTCATCCCAACATCCTGACTGAGCTTAAAACACAACATGCATCTTTCTTAAAAAAAAGAAAAAAAAAAAAAAACAAAACATGGGTAATGTTGTAGGAATTAAAATGTATGAGAACCATTTTTCTGAGCCAAACAGCTATCTGGTCTTTGAAGAGAGACTGGAAAAATCAGTTTACTTCAGAAAATATTTACTTGCTAAAGATAACATATTAGCATAGTAGGCTCTTGAAATTGAATACAGTTAGAATTTATTTATTTCTTTTAACAGACCTCCATAGCTATCATAGAATCATAGAATAGTTAGGGTTGGAAAGGACCTTAAGATCATCTAGATCCAAACCCACTGTCATGGACAGGGACACCTCACACTAAACCATGTCACCCAAGGCTCTGTCCAACCTGGCCTTGAACGCCGCCAGGGATGGAGCATTCACAGCTTCCCTGGACAACCCATTCCAGTGCCTCACCACACTTACAGTAAAGAATTTCTTCCTCATATCCAATCTAAACTTCCCCTCTTTAAGTTTGAACCCATTACCCCTTGTCCTATCACTACCCTCCCTAATGACGAGTCCCTCACCATCATCCTTACAAGCCCGTTTCAGACACTGGAAGGCTGCTCTGAGGTCTCCACGCAGCCTTCTCTTCTCCAGGCTGAACAGCCCCAGCTTTCTCATCCTGCCTTTATACAGGAGGTGCTCCAGTTCCCTGATGATCCTCGTGGCCCTCTTCTGGACTTGTTCCAACAGTTCCATGTCGTTTTTATGTTGAGGACACCAGAACTCTACACAATACTCCAAGTGAGGTCTCACGAGAGCAGAGTAGAAGGGTATGATCACCTCCTTCAACCTGCTGGTCACACTCCTTTTGATGCAGCCCAGGATACGGTTGGCTTTCTGCTGTGAGTGCACACTGAAGGCAGCTCATGTTAAGTTTCTCATTGACCAACACCCCCAAGTCCTTCTCCACAGGGCTGCTCTGAATCTCTTCTCTGCCCAACCTGCAGCTGTGCCTGGGATTGCTCCCACCCAGGTGTAGGACCTTGCACTTGGCATGGTTAAACCTCATGAGGTTGGCATCAGCCCACCTCACAAGCGTGTCAAGGTCCCTCTGGATGGCATTCCTTCCCTCCAGCGTATCAACCGAACCACACAGTTTGGTGTCATCGGCAAACTTGCTGAGGGCGCACTCAATCCCACTGTCCATGTCACCGACAAAGATGTTGAACAAGACCGGTCCCAACGCTGATCCCTGAGAGACACCACTCGATACTGGTCTCCAGCCGGACATCGAGCCACTGACCACAGCTGTTTGTGTGCAGCCATCCAGCCAGTTCTTTATCCAACGAGTGGTCCATCCATCAAATTGATGTCTCTCCAATTTAGAGACAAGGATGTTGTGTGGGACAGTGTTGAACACTGCACAAGTCCAGGTAGATGACATCAGCTGCTCTGCCCCTGTCCATCAGTTCTGTAGCCCCATCATAAAAGGCCACCAGATTGGTCAGGCAGGATTTCCCCTTAGTGAAGCCATGCTGGCTGTCAGCAAGCACCTTGTTGTTTTTCATGTGCCTTAGCATTCCTTCCAGGAGAATCTGCTCCAAGATTTTGCCAGGCACAGAGGTGAGACTGACTGGTCTGTAATTCCCTGGGTCATCCATTTTCCCCTTCTTGAAAATGGGGGTTATATTTCCCTTTTTCCAGTCATCGGGAACTTCACCTGACTGCCATGATTTTTCAAATATGATGGACAGTGGCTTAGCAACTTCATTCGCCAGCTCCTTCATGACCCATGGATGGATTTCATCACGTCCCATGGACTTGTGTACATTCAGGTTCTTAAGATGGTCTCGAACCAGATCCTCTCCTACAGTGGGCCCAAGGTCTTCATTCTCACAGTCCCTGCATCTGCATTCCAGGACTTCGGTGGTGTGGTCAGAGCATTTGCCAGTGAAGACAAAGAAGTCATTAAGAACCTGAGCCTTCTCCAAATCCAGTTTAGCCAGTTCTCCTGATGGCTTCCAGAGAGGGCCCACATTGTCTCTAGTCTGTCTTTCATTTGCAATGTACCTATAGAATCCCTTCCTGTTATCTTTCACATCCCTAGCCAAGTTTAATTTAATTAATTTAATTAATTAATTTCTGACTCTGGAGGGGAAAAAAATCAACTAGCTTTTACCAGAAATTAATTAAGTAAAATAATGATATTCACAACTCTACCTTGTTAGTAGTATCTTATTCAACACCTCATAATACAGGACAGGTAAATGTAACTCCAGTACTTAATTTTCTGACAGGTTGTTTTCAGTTACTTGCTCTAGTGTTATGTATATGTTAAGGTTTACCCTTTTAGCTATTCAGGACACAGAGGCCCAAGTCCTTATCAGAGCTCCAAGCTGGAACAGAAACAGGTATGACAGGGTAACATGGCTATAAATGTATAATAGAGTGATGCTGAATCCAGAAACAGGAACTGTACTGTGCTCTGGTCCTGACTATACCTCTCAATTTAAAATTAAAAAAAAATTAATGCCACAAAGCTGAAGAATAGCGGATGGCAAGGAAGCAGCCCTGGCAGGATTTGAAGAAGTATCTTCAAAGTGCCAAATTCGTTCTGAACTAATGTGCATAACACAATATCAGGATTACAAAATAGCATTTTTCTGGCCTATTGATATACAGATTTTTTCACAGAATCTACAGAAAAACCCACAACATAATTCCCTATCCACAGCTTCTCATGCTAAACTTCTGCAAAAGAATTATTTGGTAAAGGCTTTTTGCATTAATTTCTAAACCAAGCCCTTACTTTGAAAATCATCCATTTCACTCCTAAAAGTTGGTATTTCTGCATGTACTCTTTTTTTCTTCTTTGGGGTCAGTAGTATTTCTGCAAAATATAAGATGGATACCAGTAAAAATGCCAGTAAGTAATAACTGTTTAATTTTCAAAGTGCTCCTTTAAACAAACAAACAAAAAAAAAATACAGGATACGCTTTAATTTCATTCATTAAGAACTATAAGCCTCTCATGTCCATAAATATATAATATTAGAATGAAATTACCTTGTTATAATGTCATACATTCATTCACACTTACTTCAACTTAATATATTCTCTTTATTAGTACCCGAATAAGCCCTTACTTTGAGAACTATCCAGTCTGCTCCTAAAAGTTGGTGTTTCTGTATGCAGTCTTTGTTTCTTCTCAGGGGTCAGCAGTATTTCTGCAAAATATAAGATGGACACCGGTACAAATACCATTAATAACTGTTTAATTTTCAAAATGCCTCTTTTAAACCAAATAAATACAGGATGCACTTTTATTTTATTAAGAATTATAAGCCTCTCATATGCATAAATGTGTAATATTAGAATGAAATCACTTTGTTATAACATAACATATATATTATATAACAATATAAGATTATATAACAATATAAGAAAGACACAAGATCCTCAAACAGAAGTTCCTAGTTCTCATCTTGCATAGTACAAATCATTGGTAAATCAAATTAAATGAGTGAGTTTACAGGAGCAGGACAATCAGAATCAAACTAAAATAAGTTCAGTATTTTAAATACTATTTACAACAACAGTTACAATTACTAAAAAATACAATCATAATTACTCTCAGAACCTGCATATCTCCTATTGTTGCAAACAGTCAATTTGCGAAGCTCCTTTTTACGTCTTTCTTCTGCTTCCAGAATGACTTTGTGATGGTCACACTGGTATGGACAACTTTGCAACACCTTGGTAAAGGTTTTACTATTGAAGGACAGTTCTCCTGCTTTACAACCTGGAAAAACACCAGGATATTGTAGAAACAGCAAGCATGAATGCTATAGAAGCCATCACAAAATCCAGTGTTATTTTGACACCATGATCTACAACTTAACCTCCATTTTCCATATACACATCTCAAAAGACGTAATACTTTTGTGTGCCTTCTTGTTTTGTACTTGCTCTTTTACACTGCACTTCAACTCCAGAAGGACTAAATGAGGCATGCATCCTCTAGGGAAGTGAAAATATTAGTGGGACTGGAAGAAAGGTGCTTCAGTTCCCTTTGCAGATTTATCCAGGAGCCAAAATATAAAAGATGTCTTTGCTATTTTTTGAAACTTTCTGTGTTATAACAGTTACCTGTATTAACCTGAATAAACAACGTCTATCTTATGAATTTCCTCACAGGAAGCCTTCCTGTTTGGTTTTGGGGACATTCCTAGGGTGATGTATGGTTTAGTTATTCTTGGATGTTCTCATAGTTAGTTACATCAGCTGAAGGTGAACTTCTGCACTGTGTGGAGTTACAAGAACGTCACTGAAACATAACTACAATATTCTAGCCTAAAATAAAGCAGTGCTAAAGATCAAGTTGAATTTAGTTTGACAGCTGTAGGCCTACATGACGTTCAAAGGTGGCTTACAGTGCTTCACACTCCCCCCCCCCTTTTTTTTCTTTTTAAATCAAGATACACAGGCTTAATTACAAAATACACTTACAAACCCTGAGTGCCAGCAGCATTCTTAGAACATACTGATAAACTGTGTTTAGGAATTAGAAGATGGAATAACTGAAGGCTGCAATCAGGGATTACTGTAAAACTGACAGACTGTACTTAATAGCAGTAACGCAGAGAAAACAGAAGGGCTGCAGAATATTTAGGAGGCTTAGAAGAGGAATACATGAGGGAACTGAGCAGGGCTCCAAGATTTTCCTCGCTCTTTCCAATCAGAGAAAGGAGGAAAGCACGCACTCGTAAGTGCTCTTGTAATAGCATGTCATCTTTTAAGCTGTTGTATACTATGTTAGTAAACCCACATTAAAAGGTAACTAGACTGAAACTGGCATATGTAGCTTTATTTCAATATTTAGTTTTTATTAGCGGGACAGGAAAAGGAAAGGAAGCTGTTAAGAACTGCATAATGGATAATCCTGTAGATGTGTTAAAATCTCTGTAAGCCTCCTTTTATGAACTCAAGAAAGAAAGACCTAGGATAGTATTTACCTGAACACCTGAAATCTGCCATTTTCTGGGATGTAGATGTAGCTGAAGTACTTTTTTCTCCTTTGGTTATCTCCGAGTGTTGATCTAAATTCGGAAGAAAAAAAAAAAACTAAGAAAACGCAACTGATCTTTTCCCATGGCAATCATGCATCAGCACAGCTATATTCAACTGTATTTACTATCTCTAGGTTATTAAAGTTTAATTTACATAACAGCAAAAACTCCAAATGAAATTCCTCAATTTAAATGGATCACATTTATGTTTTTGCAAATCCAGAATAATTACATTTAATTCAGTGCTTTTTTTCATCATTCTCCCAAAGCATATTGCTTGTACTTGAACAGAGCAAAACAACCCTGCAAACTTACATTGCTTAACTAAGCTCTATAAACTTTATTTCTATATGGAATCAGATGCTGAAAAATGTGATGTGCTGGAATAATATTTATTCTCAATTTTAATAGGTATAACCTGGAGATAACCTTGGTGGCTTGTAAAGCTACCATTCTGGCAAATACTAATCTAATGAATAATTATAAATTCTATAAATTAACAGGAAACTAAATTATGAATAAAGATTTGATCAAACACGTCCCAGTTTTGAAATAAATGCATCAGACTAAAAAGATCAACGCAAATCTGAAAAACATCTATCTTAAACACATCTTCAACATGTAGGAAAAGCCTTAAGCAAGTCATGCTCACAGGCAGGTTCTATCCCCGGTCTTACAATGGCAGATCCTTACACATTTTCTATTACTGGCTTTCATTGTTCAGTATAGACTGCATTCAGACTAAAATGAAAACATTTATCTGCGATACATTTATGTGAATAGTTAAAATCAACTAAAAAAAAAAAAAGCTAAAATATGTATTAGAAGAAAAGGAAAATAAATATTCTCCTAGTAAAATTGCACACACTATAAAATTCCCAAACTATGCAAACAGTTAAGTGACACATTACACAATGTACTCCATCATCTAATGATACATAAATTTTGATTAAAAAAAAGTGATAAAAACACAGAAACCTAATAAAATCTCATTAAGAACAAGATTATTTAAGAAAGGAATATGTCTATTTATACCTGATGTGCATGTCTGTTTCACGTTTTTAATGACCTCTGCTGGTTTCTTAAATAATTGTTCACTGGGAAGATCAGAATGTAAACAGTGGGAAAAATAAAATATCACATTTTCGAACATATATTTACTTGTAAATCAATACATACATTCCAAAGGCAAAACAAAACACATATTAAACATATAAAAGATTAAACTTAAAAAATTCTAATTATTCCATGTTACTGGGGTTGTAGTATCCAGGATGTAATCACTGTGTGTTGGAACTCGGTTTACCAGAGCCCTGTGATAAACACTCCTTGCAGTGCTGTTTAGCACTGGGAGTGCAGTGCTTTCAAGGGAAGCTGACTCATTTGCAATCCTGATTAACGTAAAGATTCCTTAGTGCACACAAAACTTTCATAATCTCTTCCAAATACTGTAGCCTTCAATAGAGGTAGCAATTGCTCTAAAAGGCAATTGATATTTTTTCTTACACTGACTAACTCCTATGCTATCTATGTACTCCTGTGACATGGTGATCATACATTTTTCTGTCATTGACTACCTCCAAATGCTGCAGGAGCAGGGAGCCTGATCCATGGTTATCCTTGGTTAACTCCTTTTGTGACACAAATACACATGCAAGGAGAGAGCTTTCCTCCTGCCCCCTCCTCCCAAAAAAAGTCTTAATAGTTTTGTGCTTCAGAGTCCAGAAGAACAAATAATCTGTGTCAAATTATGCTAATCAGTAGCAAAGCAAAATTTATCTGAATGTACCAGGGAAAGTAATTTCAGTGGTTGTTGCAAAGGTACAATATAATGCATGCAAGGAAGCTGCACATGAGCAGGGTTCAGCCAGCCACATTTGTGTGAGAGTAACGAGCAAGAGAACAATGAATGACTAAACAAGGCTCTATCTTTCTCTTCCCATGGAGGGAAGCAATTGAATATGAGCGGAGAAAAGCAGGGAGTGAAGGCTTTTTTCTGTAGCTCGTAAGCACTCCAGTTTTTTTGCACAGCAGATCTGTAACTCCTGTTTTCCTAGGAAATGCATATAACAGAATTCTTTGTGGCTTCATCCAAATCAATGGTTGAAATTTTGATCTACTAAATCAGCGAGAATTTTGAGGCAAAAACAATGGATGATTTTTCATCAATATGTTGAAGACATTAGGCCTGTACTGGCTTCCTATACAATGTCAGAAGCTATTATTTAGAGAAAAAGATGGTACTTTATTACTACCATGCCTATCATCTTTAATCTGTGACTTCAAAAACACTTCCACAAAATACTCTCTAATGAGCCACCAAAAGCCTATGCCTTTCCACTAGCAGAAAAAAAAAAAAACTACTTAGTAAAAGCTAATGTAAAAGGCTAACATTCAATTTGAAAATTATTAAAGAAAAACAAGTTAGTATTTCTGCTTAGGTTTAAGACACTTACCTTACTTGAATAGATTGATTTTTTACACAAGTAGTTCTTTCATTTATACTATGACTTTGTAGTACACTATCTGTTTGCAGTTCATTAACTGAACACAGACTATTCCTCTGTTCACTTTGTCTCACAGAAACATTTACTAGATTCATAGGGTTAACTATTTCATTTTTCAGTGCAGAAGAATTTACAGATGGAGAAAGAACCTGATCATCTGACTGTGGACAATGTATTTCTTTATGTGTTCTTGCTATGTAAGTTTCCGGATCAGCAGGATTCACCTCACAGTATTTGGATGCTTCAGCATTGGCTTCTGAGGATCTTTCTACAAATACTCCTCCTTTCACACTTTCCTGTATTGAAAAACACCAGTCAGTGACTATAGAAGCTCCATAAAAATATTAAATAATTCTATTAACAAGATTAAGTAGGATAGACAAGTCTAACTCTGGAGGTAACAGAAATTTCAGAGAAGCTTCAGAAACCCCTGAGTTAACAGCCCACAAGACAGTGCTGCTGAAGGTGTTGAAAGGGTAGTTACTAAGTGATAATTCCAGGCTGAAGCACTGGATTTGCTACTAATATGAGGCACTTCTAGAAATGAAAGTATTTAAGTAAGATCCAGCTGAATAACTAAAAAACTTGCAGTTCCACACCCAGAGATAACATGCAGTTATATAGCACAGGGAAAATATGCAACAACTTTATTTTAGTTTATGCCCTCATTTTCCATTATCATCTATCTCACAGCTGTACAACCATGGGCATGTCATGATTGCAAATATTAAAATTATTGCTTCAAATATTTGGCAATTAAAAATAAATCCAACTCTTTTTTCTCCAACCTAAATGATTTCAAATTTGTAGAAAATCTGGTTTTACAATAAATTAAAATGCTTCATAAAAACACAGATGCCTATATTCTCCAATTGCCCTGCATACTTATCTGTATGATATAATGGTAGAAGTTGCAGGTTGCATTTTCACACACATCCCATGTTTTCCCTACTTTTCTAGCTGACACTGAAATAACCTTAAGTGTTTACATTTTATTTAACCCTAAACCCTGGAAAAAAATGCTTAGTTTTATCTACTTTGGTAAATCGGCCAACCTCATTACACTCTTTTTCAAGCAAGTTTGTTCTGTATAAAATTTCTTTTGCTTCCTTCCAGTAGTCTTCTAGACTTCTTTTTCTGACTTGCATGTCCAACTCCTCTGTATTGGTTGCATTTAATGAATTATAATTTATTTTCAGGAACAATTGTTTAGCTTTATAAATCATAAAAAATAAAACTATTAATATTACAAGCTTTTTTAAATGAACATTTCAATAAGCATTATATTTTAGTATGCTGAGGGACAGCCCCAATAATTTAATGCAAAATATAACCCTGAATAATAATTTTAATATAATTTAATGTACATGTAAATGTTAATAAAATTCAAATATAAAGTGCAGTTACAAGAGGTGAGGTTGCAATTATAGTTGCTATAAGCTTTTTACACAATAATGCTCTGCTTTAAGAAACTCTTGTCATGGACTTAATCCTCATTCTATAGGTCTGTTACCTATATATGTCTCTGCTTTTTTTAAGAAACAGCTCCATATTAATGGGCACTGAAAATCACTACACCCCCTCAATCTTATACAAAACTCTTAGTTATGTTTGTAGCACAAAAATGTAGATACATGCTTTTTTACTAATTATCAACTGCATAATACTTCCACGCTTTAGAGATTAAAGAACATGTCTTTCTGTATTCTACAGCTAATTAAAAACAAAAAAAAGCATCAAAAAACATTAAAAAGGATACTTCAAAATACACCTTATTTAAAAAAAAAAACAACAAAGTATTTTTTTCATGTTGCGAAATAACTGTAGTCATGGTGATTTTGGGCTTGATTATCGACCAGCTTAGCCTTTATAAATAAGGGTAAGTACCAAGGAATAGAGTACCAACTGTGTGTTAGATGACAATGCTAATATTTGCACAGAATTTATAGATGGGAAAGCTTTCAAGAACTGGCCCTACATATATATATTTCACAAATGCACCATTGCAACACTGTTGGAATTTTTACTTTTCTTTCTTGTGCCTAAATGCTGTTACCAGTCCATGGTAGTAAACGTGCAACTTTTCTGCAGAAAACGAACATCACTTGAAGTACAGAGAATTACAAAGTTGCTACAGTGAAAATCACTTAGAAAGTCAACAGAACTTAAAAACAAATAATATCTGTATTTTTTAAAGCAGTAACAGAAAGCTTACTCATTTGTTTGCAGTTTTTAAGCACAAAAGTAGCCACTTTGTTTAGTTCCTCATCCTGAGACTCAGTTAATAACTGAATCATAAGTGGAAGACCATTATTCTGGAGCAGCTCACACTGGTTTTCTTCTAAAACAGGATATTGTAAAGGAAAATAGATTGTTTTCAGTTTCATACACAGTTTCATTGTGGATCCAAGCATGCTGTAATGACCTCTTACCTGGGTTGCAGCAAAAGCACTTTCAATCACACAGGATAATTTGCCCATAGCTCAAAGCTATTGTAAGAAAATTGAAGGAGGACTGAGATGAATTGTGATAGAGATACAAACTCATTTAACTGTTGCCTAAAAAATCTGAATTCTGGCTTCTGTATTTCTTTTCCTCTGGTATATACTCCTAAAATATATACACTATATTTATGTAGATCTTGAGATGCAGAAATATCAGAAGTTTGTAACTGGCAAAACTCAAATAAAATTAGTAGTTTAACCCCAATCTAGCTAATCTGTTCCTCCTCATTAACTATGTAATTAGCTATATTTTTTACTGTGATGTCATTTGTTGTATATATTCATACACCTGCCAACTTCCTAAGAACTAATTCTTTGTTGTCTAAATAAAACAAGGGAATAAGAAAAACAAATGAAATATGGTTATTTTGTTAGTGATGACATTTTAAGAGAAACTTTCATTCTGTTGGTTTTATCATATTTCTATTTGAAAGACATTTTCCATTAAGCTATTTTAGTTAATTCTTCATGAAAAAGCATCTTTAAAACTGATTTATGACCTACTGAGCTTATTATTGGACTTGTTATTGACAAAGGATAATAATCAATGAGGATTTTGAACATAATCCTTTTTTCTTGCATCTCTGAAATACACGTGAAAAACCAGTAGTATAAATAATGATCAGTATTTCACAAGTTCCCATTCTGTTGCTTTTACTGCCATAAAATACCAACTGAAGTGTTAAAAGTTTCCATCCTTGGGAAAGCCCTGAGGAGCCTGGCAAAAATACTTCAGGATTACCTAGTGCTTACATTACTTCAACACTAATACTTTTATATAGCTTTTAAAAGAAATTAACAGCTATGTAAGCAGTGGACAGAAGCTGTATGTATCAAGGACCATTAAAACAAAGCTCAAAAAGACTTGTGTGGCGTGATGTCTTGTAGCAGCTTTCACGTCTGGATGAATTTTATCCTGTAATACCTAAGACCAGCTCTGAATTCCTGCATAATAGTTTGCTTTTTCTGAATATTAATATTACATTATTTAAAAGAATTTCCCTTCATTTTCCAGTCTTGATAAATGATACCATTGAAGTTGTTAGTTTATAACAATTCAATTGAGACTGATAGAAAAAAAATGTATCTTACCACAAACTTCAGTACAGTGTCCAATGGTTAGAATAATACTAATTTTTTCTCTTGTATCCAGAGTGTCATTGGACAGCAGCTTTAGTAGCTCTGACACAGTGTGGTACTTTGTCAAGACAACACCTATGGTAGCTATTATGTAAAAAATAATTTGAAGAAAAATAAACACAATAATAAGGATATAGGCATCATCCAAACATAAAATGCTGTTTTTCAAGGGAACTCTGCAGCCCTCTAAAAGCCTTGGGCCTGCACAGTCCTTCTCTTTCATTTTAATACTTTAAGTCATCACATCCCTCCTGGAGCAGCAGTTCTGCCCCATAGCCGACGCAGCACTTTCTCCCAGATTGTGTGGTATAGAGATGTGGCAAAATACCTGACTAACAAGGGCTTTGCAATGTGCAGGTTTTGTAGACCTCTGCTCAGTCCACATCTTTTATCAGCTCCAGAATACAGCAAAAGAGTAGAATAAGGTTTGACACATGGATTATCTGCCACAAAAATGCTAAGAATGTTTCTGATACAGGGCAACCTCTTCCTGAAACCAGGAACACCACTGCTAGTACATACATGCTGACACCTAATCCTGTCCCAGATAAACTTCTCTGAAATAAGCTCAAAACTAGTGCAGGTATATGCTTTTAAACTTTTTTTTAACTTCCATTCACAAGCATTTAAGAGCACAAGTGTCAAATTTAATAGTCACGGCCAACAGCACAGATTGATCAGGCTCACAGGGTTCTCAAAATCTGATGCAATACGCAAAGACCTCATTAGGATAGCACTCTCCAGACAGCAGATCAAAGTGAAGATGTGTTACGCAAAAATGCCACATCTGTTCAGTTCCACACCTGAGTTACTAAAGCCTCCCAAAGCTTACAAAGGTTATTAGTTTAGGCACAGGTCTATAGAAACAGATTTCTAACTTCAGGATCCAAGCTGACTGCCACACACGCAGTTCTCAACTTTACTTACACAAAACTAGCATCTTATTTTTAATTTTCAGTCTTGTTTAAATTTCATTATTTCAGCAATAATGGGAAAGTAACCCACCTCAGATGAACTGAACCGCTCCCCATATACTTGTTTGAATTTAAAAAAAAATCTGCAATATCAGTGTATGTGATTTAATGCCCTCCAGCATCCATTCTTATCACTTTTCAAGGAAAAACAGACCTGAAAAATTTCATTTTAAAATTAGCATATATAAAAAATGGTAATGCTCTTTTCACTCACAGTCATTAGCAACGCAGGCATCCAGAGTCTTTGTTACTGCTATTGCAAGTTTAATGCTGGAGTGACTCATATTGGAATCATGCGTAAGCCTGGTGAGAACTCTAGCTAATGTATCCAGTCCTCCAACAGAAACAAAATATTTCTGCACATATGCTGAGTAAAAAAAAAAACAAGAAACAAAGTGAAAATGTCTTAAATAATACGCGTTGCAAACTGTTTTAGCATTTTAGCAATTAGGCTCATCACAATTTTTTCTGTGACTGTATTAACCATTACATTTCCACCCATGTAACTGAAGTTGAATATATGCTAGTCTCAAGAAATGTAGTAATTGTCATACAAAATAGTTACAAGGAACACATGGCCCTAATGCTTGCATACAAACGGCAAACCTTATGCCCAAGTTCTACCAACGTCACTGTTTTCAGAGATGTAACATCTTGTATTTGTAAAATACTTTTAATCAAAACAGCTTCCAAAATTTCTTTACTAACCTCACCAAATGTAGTCAGTTTGTAGCTATTTGTGGACTTAAGCACAATGAATACACTGTAAATGAAGATGGTGGAATACAGTTTTCACAGTTAAAATTGGAAGAACAGCAACAACAACAACAACAACAAAAAAAAAAATCAAACATTTAACGATCTAATTAAACTTACTTTTCCAAAAATAAAAAATTATTTAGAGCTCGAGCTGCACTTACAGTTATTTGCAACTGTGAGACCAACAAATGAACAAATAGGACGAACTATCTCAGGCTTTGTGCAACTTTCCAGCCACTCTTTGGCATATGGGAAGACTGAAGAGCAAATGTTTTGATTATATTCTAGAAAAGTGAAAACAAATAATTCCCAATCAAAATGTATTATTAAATTTCAGTTGAATATTAAAAAATTTAACCCAACAATCATTGACAAAAGCTAAAACAAACTTACCACTTTGGAGAAATACTTTAAACTTTTGTCACAATTTTAACAGCAACATTCTTACCATTCTGGGGATTGTTAACACAGGCACAGAGAGTACTGCAGACTGAGGACCACAGCTGATAGCACTGATTAGTATCTTCATCTGACAGATTGATCTCAGATGCGGAAAGCGTTGTTCTGTTAAGAACAATGCAAACAAGTCCCAAATAGTCAAGCAAACCTAAGTGTTGAATAGTCTATCATTTTATGTTTAAATTGCAACTGCCCACCTGAATAACTGTAGCAGTAGGCCAATGCAGCCTGTATCTCTGACATAGGTTTGCCCACTTACTAAAAAAGAACACATGCAAGAATCCTAAGACATATGCAACTTGAGACAAAATCTTAATGTCAAGTTTAATTTACATATATACATTCTTTTCCCATTTCCTAAGCATATATCCCACCCCAAAAAAAAACTAATACAAAATCACAACAAATGCCAACAAATTGGCAAAAATGTTCAATTTCTGTGTCTGTTTTTTATTATATATTGTCAGTAACGACTGGTTTGCATTATTTTTTAACTATAATTTCATTTTTAGTACTAAACCACCTTCTGCTATTTAAGGAAATCCCAATGAATGATGATCTATTTACACAATTCAGGTTCAGTTACCTGCAATCATTCATCTTTAGAAATTAACTTTACCAAAACATTACCTATTGAAAGTTTCAAGTTTCTGTATTGCAGATTGTCAAATAGAAAAAAAAATGGTGTAACACAGAAAAAAAAACCAAAATAAAACGAACTTACTATTATTGGAAACCAGTGCTAAGATGACATAAACAGACATTCTTTTCAAGTTCACACCAGAATTCTTATTAATTAAAAATGAAATGAGGTCTTCAAACAATGCAGCAGTACACAAAGTCTGTTGACAATAAACTGAAACCAAAAATAAAAATCATTAAGTCCTAAAACAAGCCATTCATAAACCTAACTTATATTTGTAATATATTTACTAGAGTCTCAGTTGCATCCCATTATGTGGTGAGTGGAGACAAACCAGGACTACAAGGTGGCTGCAGGCTTCTCCTGTAGTTAGTGCTAAACCAGCCAGGACCTAGGCAAACTCTGGAACAATTCACAAGTCATTTAACACTTGCTGCTAAGGAAGATAAGTAGCACAGCCATCTGGTATCATCAAGGCATGCTGCCTACACAATTCAGCAAGGTATTTCTCCAAATCTGGGGATAGACTGTGACACAGTGGCATTCCTACTCCCCCTTGCTCGACCCAAGAATCTTATTACGAGATTTTCTGCGACAAAAATGTAACAGAAACTAAGCACAGCAGAGGTAATGGTTACCCAGAAATACAAATAATATTACTTATTACCATTACTCTCCATTGTAATTCCTAATGTAAACAAAGCTGCTTCCTTTACTATGCCATGAATACTTGACTTTGCAAGATCATTTACAAACATCAAACCACCAATTTCTCGAAAATATTCACTTGCTTCACCTGTAACATTAAAAAAAAGAACAAAATTAAAGTTTTGCTTTTATTTCTCTTTAAAATTAAAACCTTTCAAGATCCTTTAGGTTTTGTGGGTTTTTTTTTTACAGTGACAATCAACTTAACATATATTGTTAACATAATGACTGTATTTTTTCTAAGGAAAAACTCTTCTTACTGTTTTGTTGACAAATTGAGTAAATAGTGATCAAAGTGTCTTTCTGAGATAGAGGGCAGTCCATCTGGTATTTAAGGCATTCAAGCAATAAGTTCAGATCTGTTTTCACATCTATGAGCAAACACAAAAAACTTCATGAAAATTGTCAGCTCTTCTTTATGATCTTTATTAGTATTACAATAAACCTGCCCAAAAACGTAGCATGTGTTTTTGAAGTAAAAAAATGTGAGCAAATATAGACCTACACCATTTCTCTCTATCCACAAACATACATATGAAAATATTCCTTTCTGTAGTTTGTTATTCAAGCATGGTGTCTGTAAGCGGCGAGAAGCAAGACACGCCAACCCAATATGGGTGATAAGCAAACTTCTACTTTGTGGCGCACTTCACTTATATCCGCGTGGTGTTTAGCACACCTACTAGTCAGAACAGTATTGGTTAGTTCTACACAGCTTCCTTCACATTCTCCTCCCACATCTGGTATCCAGTTACCTGTGAGGCCTACACCTTGCTTTGCTTGCACAAGGCCTCTAAGGATCCATGGCCTTGCTGTTGGAGCCATTCTGCAACAGGTGTCCTTTGCTAAAGTTACAGCCCCCTTTTCATATTTCTGGCCTTTAATTACTAGTAACAGTCTTAGTAAATGAAATGCAACTGCAAGGTGCATTAAGAGTATTTAAATGAGTAAAACAGAACCATGAAAATATTCAGAGTGAAAATAGAACTGCAGGAATCCAACAAAGCAAGGCTCACTATATGGTATTTACTTACAGAAAACTTAATCCCTTACCACAGCAGCTACAATCTTAAATTGTTATATTAGTAAGTGAAGACAAAACATTTTCTGGGCAACTACACACAAGCCTAGGTAGGTAGACACTTTTGAGAATCTGTTTCTTAGTTGTATGGGTATAATAAAAAGACTTATTTGACACTTATTTGTGATAGCAACCACAGATTTGTAAACCTTTTTAAGACTTGGGGTTTCTTAAAGAAGTTTAAATACAATAAAAATGTAGGTTATTATTAGGAAAACAAGAAGTGACTGTTGTGGTATTGTCTACTATCTGCAAGTTTGTCATTACATTTTCCAACGCAAAATTTGACACGGAAAAAAAAAATTTCCCCAATACCTCATCACCCATGACAAATCTATCACAGCCTAGTAAAGCTTTGTAAAATTGATGCAGGTAATAAATGACAAATTATGTTGAGCATCTTACCACACTGTTTTTTCTGCCTCTTTTGAGTTTCCATTTTTGGTTGTATCTCTGTTCTTGCTCTACAACAGCAAGGAAAAAGTGTTTTCTGTTCAGATTAGCACCATTTGTAACACCATATGCAGTATAAACAAAATATTTTTTCTTCAATACACTCTTTCCAGTTTTATGGTTTTACTCTGTCATCTGACACACAGTTTAATATGCTTTTGCATATTTCCTTTGGAAATACAGTATTTTACAGTAACACTGCATTTGTAACTATCACGTTACTATCTTTTGAAAGTCAGCATTTTGCAGAGATCAAGTTGATTCCATGTGGGCACCAAATATGTCCCTGTCATTAAAAATATACCTAGTTCTATGTCATTACCACAATAACTGTGATCCAATTTTCCTTGCAATAGGTTGCCAACTTTGTCATCAGCCAACAGCTAGCAGTAAGCCCACCAAGTAACGTTATGGAGACAGTCAGTTGTGTTCGATATCCACTATAGAACCTGCAGCCTCCTACTGCTACTCAGTGAGCCACTAAACCATAATTGTGTTGTTTCATCAGTACTGATCAAAACCAAAGACAAGAAACATGAACTGTTATTTCTTAAACTAAAGATTTATTTTTATTCACCAAAGAAATAATCACATTACATTAAGTATGCAAACCAGAAAACCCAACAGGGATTCTACATAAACCTAACATGCCAGCATCTGAAAGACTTGAACAGCAGAGTGAAACTGAGGTCTGGGAACAGAAAGATGGTCCCTTAAGCATCCCCCAGGACCCAGACACAAAAGATTGAAATAGGTTACTGTGGTGCTTGCATCAATCTCTCAAAAATTATCTAGCTCCAGTTAGAAACTTTGTATGAGTGATAAATCCAGCTTAGTAATGGACTGGTTATCCTTCTCCAAGTAAAGCAAAGGCCATAAGAAAATATCACTGCCATCTTAATGAAGACAGAGAGGTCTGCTTTAGTCAGATTGTTCCCATTCTTTTCCTGCTTCCATTAGTTCAAATACTCTGCATTCATCCTTACAATGGCATTGATGAAGTGTGTGTTTTGAGAGGGAATGTTTAGAGTTCATCTTTCTTTGCCCTTTCAGAAGTGATAATACACATAATTTCATTTTCTTGCAAATCTAACCCTGCCACAACAGCAGAAAGCTTGCAAGTCTTCCTCACCTCTTTTGCCCCTACTGCTCCCACCCTGCTGGCCTAAAACAAAAACTATTCACATACTCCTCAACAAAAGAAAGGCTGCAAAACCAAGCTCACTTTGCAGCTAATTTCATTTCCACAAAATTTAATTAAATACACATGCATACGATTAAAGAGCCTTTAATATAAGAAAAACAAAGAGTTTTTTAAACACTATAGAAAGATGTCTTGACCTCAGCTGGACCTTTTGCAACATATGGAAGGTACATAAAGTATAAGCCAGTCTACATTAAAATACAAATAGCTAATATCTGTTGTTGCATCACAGGCCAAAGATGAAAATATAAGTAACACAATCTGCTGCAGCAGACTTCTGGTAAATGCTGTGTGTAAAAGAAAATAATTACCTATCAATTACGAAAAATAACCCATACCATCCCATGAGAACTAAAAAAATTCCACTCTTAAAGCAGCACAGATAAATTCAAGCCCCTGCACAGCCACACCAGGCTAAGAACACCCAGTCTCAGGGGTACTTTTCCTTTTAAAATCCTATGGTCAAAGTCACTGCAGTGAAGGAAGTCCAGATAGTTGGTGTCCCGCTGAAACCCAAAAGTATGCCAGCAGCTGAGGCTGCACTGCTACCTTTGGTGAAACACGCCTCAGCACGGCAGACCTCTGAAGTCCTCCACTGCTATTTTAGCAATGTTTCCACCCCCATCCCCGTACACAATTCAGAACTCACTATCAGAGCTCCACGCTGAAGTCTTAACAAGTACTCCAGATCACCCCAAATACAAAAAGGAAAAAATATTTAACTTTTTTTTCAAAAGAAGAGCCAACTGTCTACAGAGGAATCATTTTTCTGCCAGCTTTTGGGAAGCGTGGGGAGTATCACGAGGATGTGAAACAGGGCACATCTACCTGTCGATCCGCAATAGCAGCGACTCTGCTCACACACCAAGGCGCTCCGGGCCGTTCCCGCCGCCCCCCTGAGGAGACCACCCGCCCGCGCGCCTTTCCCGCCCCGCCGCGCGGCCCCTCAGGAGCGCTCTGAGCCGGGGTGCGGTCGGGCGGCTCCTCTCGGGCACCGCGGCCCCTTCCAGGCTCCTCTTCCGCCACCCGAACCGGAGCGCTGCTTCAGGCCCAGGCCGGGGCGCAATCACTCGGTTTCCGTGCAGTGTTCAGTGCAGTGTTGAAAACTACAGCAACACCACAAACCGCAGTGAGCCATCATCTGACATTTGCCGGACACCAATGGCGTAGGACAAAGAACCTTTTAGCAGGTGAACAGAGCTGCAAACCAAGCTGTCTGGAATGCAATCCCTCTCCACAACCTCCCTGGACTCTGTAAAAGGTGGTGCAGCTTTCCCTAGCTCTTCTCACAGCTGAATCCTCACTCTGTAATAGTTACAGTGGCGTTTTTCAACCTTTTGGGAGTCCTCTCCCCTCAACCTGAAGAACAGCTTTTACAAGAAGAAAATTAACCTGTAAAAAGCAGCCCTGCTGCAAATCAGGTCAGCCAATTTGTAAATCCATGTACCATAACAGAGAACAGCTTCTGCTGTTTTCTTTCAAAGGTGGATCTGAAAAGTCCAGATTAAAGACAAAAACATTATTAAATTAGGTTTTGGTAATTTTTTTTGTCCCTGGAGGAGCTGGGGGGGGAAATCGTTACAAATAAAGGACCTTTGATTGGTGGGTAATATGGAACAGTCGGTGGTAGTACACCACAGTATTTACAGAACATTGCAGCAGCATTGCTTGGTGGCAAAGAGTGGAGCATCCTCATCTTACAGCTGGAAAGTCGCTGAAGTCTGTGACACACCACTGTAAATGTAAGTGTTATTAAAAATTACAAACTGCCCTGTAATGACTTTGATAACCTCCTGTGCAGCAGCTCCTGTAAAAGAAACAAAAGAAAGGAAAACAAGAAAAAACAGATAAAAGGTGGTTAGCACTTTACATTTAAAAGCCAGTAAAAGGATGTTATCTACAGCTTGCTACACTGGAATTATTTCAGCAGCACCTGACACAACTCCTGGGGGGGGGAAATGCCTTTCAGTACTTCCCATATAGAAGAGGCTCAGACAATTCACTTCAGAAGTCAGCTTTACATATACTTTGCTGTATATACTTTCTCTCCATGTGCATACACAGAGTACAAATGTGTGAGTTGTGACCTCACTACATCAAATTAAGAGGTTCAATCAGAAAAACATGTACACTTGAAACTGTAAAATAAATTGTGACCTGTGTTCTCCTGTAGCATGAAATACTCTGCAATTTCTTCAGAAGTTATCTTTACATGTTTTCTAAAGCATTGCAAATACCAAGTTCACTTTATCAGAAGAATCCTACCTACATCCACTGAGTATTTAACATATAATTATCTTCAGCACCACATGAAATGAAATAAAGACGCTAAGATATATCAATTTTGAGCATGAATTTAAACATTTTGTTTTGATAATACCTGCAGGTAAGCAACCAAGTCTATTTACATTTAACAGACACTTAAATAAGTGTATTATGTTAAAGAAAAATGTGTACTCTGTTAAAGTAATAACTGCAGTAGTATTAACTCAAAGGCTTTTTCAAACATTTTATTTTTAAAGACAGTTTTAAGTTACTAGAATTTCTATACTAAGATTATTTGTTTGGTTTATTTTGGTGACTTTAAACCTTCACTGTTTCCACTTTTTCTGTATATCAAAGGAGGTCACATCCTGAGAACCCAGAGGGAGCATTTTGCTGTAAAATATTATCTTGACAACAGTCTGTGATTATAACAGTTACAAAGTAATTAAAACAGTGAAGATTTGGACTCAAGCATGTACTGCAACAGGCTGGTTTGTTTCTATGTACCTTAGAAATACCATGGCATTCTTACCTCCCACAAGGGCAGCAATAGCATGTGGCTCAGCAGCTCCATAGCGACAACTGGATAGCAAAGTAACAGTTAGTATTTTGGGGTCAGTTTTACCGACAAAGTGACACTTCAGATAGAATACTTACAACTCTTGAAAATAGTCATCTTTCACAGTATTTTGGGGTCAGTTTTACCGACAAAGTGACACTTCAGATAGAATACTTACAACTCTTGAAAATAGTCATCTTTCACCACTACAGACAGCCCATGTTCTTGCAAGAAAGCAGCAAGGCATGATTTCAGTTTTCCAGTATCATCTTCTACCTGATAGTTGCAGACACCTAGAAAATAAGTTAACTGGTTCACAACAATAAGTTAACTGGTTCAACACAATTGCAATGCCATATTCAAAGTTAATGGATTTAAATGGCAGCACAGTATTTTTCTGAAAAGTTTCTTAGCCAATTAATATATTAACATGAGACTAATAATAATTGGATATTCTGTTGATGTGACTCATGACAATGACAAATCACTGCACAGCTGAACCAATTCATAATCCATGCAACCCATTTCAGTAGTATCAATTCAGATACATCCTTTAAATTCCCAAAGACACAAAATTCTCACTTTAATTTTCACATTCTTAAAGTTACATTAATATATAAACAAACCCTCAGCTAATAATATAGTTTATAACTAGTATTACAGTAAGCATTTGATGTTTATATTTCTTTTGATGATGTTAAGTAACTCTGGTATTTACATACCTGGGTATCTGCCATACTGCTTATAAAATCTATCTACAGCTCGCAGCATCAAGTACAGAACTATTTCACTGTCTGGGTTATCCATATGGGAAACTGAAAACAGCAAGAGAATGGATTAGCTGGTACAGACAAAACGGAGGGGGAAAAAGAAAACTATTTTAATTACTTTAAATCAAGTATTTCCCATATGCTTAAACTGTGATAGCCACAGTAAAAAGAAGTTTTAATGAAAAAAAAACCCTGCAACTAAGAATCTCAGTATGTCAACTCTCAGATACATGATTTTGACTCCATAGCGTAGGACAAACCATACTGTATGTATCTGACATACTGTTCTTTGAAGATACGCATGTTTCAACTCTGACAGCTGCTATAAAATTAAATAGGATAATGCTTAGTCATAATTTGGGGATTTGAAATGCATGTTTCATACATTTAACTGCAATGACTATAACTACAAAGAAGGTCTTAACTCCCTTAACATACATATAGCTCAGTAGTCTTTCTGAACACTATTACTTAAATCACATTGTGTATTAACGACTTATTCAAGGAGCTTTCACTTTAAATTATAAATATTCTAAAAGGTATGTAAGCACAAAATGTATACACTCTGCATATGCATTTTGTCCAAAATATTCAGGGAACTTATATATGCTTAATTTAAACTTTGATTAAAAGTACTTCCAGCTTTATTAGTATTATTTATTAATTTATGAAGGTTAAAAAATAAAATGTAGCATTAAGTAACTAGTTTGCTAGTTCACATACTGAAAAGGTAAGCTGAGAGTGGGCAAGAGAATTATTCTCGTATCTTCAGTCAGGTGAAAGCACCTTTCCAGCTCTGTCAGAAATAACTGAGGTACAGAAAAGTTTGCAGAAAGCAATGTTTTACTCATATTCTATCAAAAATAAAGTCTTTCAAAATCAAATTGAATTCAACACTCTAGACTAAAAAACCCCATACTTCTAGTTGATGCCAAGTTCTGAAACGGCATGATGAAATAAAGTTTAACATACAATTCTTTCTGATTACAAAAGCATTTCAAGTTGAAAATTCAATTAAAAGTATGCACCAAAAAGGTGTACTTACTGATTTCATCCTTATTAAAAGTGTTTAAGCTGTATTCCTCAGCCAGAGATCTACATCGCACTACCCGGAGGAAAGCAGCATTAGTGCCTAAGCAGAGTGCAGAAAGGTGAATTTTACCCACTTGAAAGCATCACCAATTACTAGCTCTTTTTAACTCTGTATCTCTGATGTGCTAAACATGAAAGGCAAACTCATGATAATTCTATTTAACACTTTTCTGTTTCTTCCAGTAGCTTGCAGTAATAAAATCTGTTAAGCTACATTTAGGTCTATGATCACAAATACGTTAGTGAAATACATTGTGCTGATTTAGGTCTAGAATCTACACATATCTGCCACATTAATGTAACAGCTCACAAAGTGCGTAGCTCTTCTACAGCAATTCATTAGCCACAGCCAGCAACTTCACGTTTTCCCCTTCCATGCTGCAACTGAACACGGGTTCTTTTGATCTCCTGAAATACCTACTGCTGCCTCACATACTCTCAATGAATATTCTAACAGCGCAGCTTTGAGCAAGAAAACACTCTTCTCCAGTGTCATGGCTGTGAAACAATCTGAAGTGCAGCCACTGCCTTACCGCTCAAAAAAGATGAACAGCAAGGTTCTCAAACCCCCAGCAAATGATCTGTGAACACAGGGGCAACATGCTCTTCTCTATATGCTTA